TAAAGGCGCGAGCCGCGCCCCAGCGAGGCGGGAGGGAGGCGGGAGGGAGGCGGGAGGGAGGCGGGAGGGAGGCGGGAGGGAGGCGGGAGGGAGGCGGGAGAGAGGCGGGAGGGAGGCGGGAGGGAGGCGGGAGGGAGGCGGGAGGGAGGCGGGAGGGAGGCGGGAGGGAGGCGGGAGGGAGGCGGGAGGGAGGCGGGAGGGAGGTGGGCTGCCCTCACGGCGCGCCACCCTCCCAGAGGGGCTCGACTCTTGGGCGGCGCCTGTGGATGCTTCCTTCCCTTCCCTCCCTTCCCTCCCCCTCCCGCAGGCGCTCGACACGTGGGAGGCGCGGTACGGCACGGCGCCGTACTCGGTCAGCTCTCCGAGACCCTCCTTTTGAGCTGGCTGGCTTGGGAGAGGAGAAGGGACGGGGGAGCTTGTGGGGTGTGGGGAGCGGGCTTGGAGTGGGACTGCATGACAGCATGAGATCGCTGACTCGACACCAACCTCCGCTGCAGCGTGGCGGGCGACACGCCGGGGCACGTGCGCACCTCCAGCTCCACATCTCCACAATCTTGTGCCCCCAAAGTGGCAATGGCGGCACAAGCGCCGGCGGCAAGCGCCGCCCTTGCGCCTTGGGGCGAGGGGCGCTACCGCCGCTAGAGCCGAGTTAGAGGGTCCGCAGCGTCCTAATCTAAAATCTGAGGATTCAGGCAGGATTGAGGCATCGCTTCAGTGAGGCCAAAGTGAGTTTATGGATGTGTGAGAACGCGGGTTATAGGGACACGCGCGGCGAGGTCGAGGAGTCACGCGGACCGACTCGTCGGTGACTCTGCTGCACGCCGTTTCAGAATTTTTCTCAGCGTGAGCGAGACGTGGAAGAGTGCCCCACCGTCGGGTAGGACGGGTCGGCCCGGAGTATCAGAGTAGCCGTCGTGGTCGCGGCGAGGGAGCAGCGCCGCGGCCACTCCGGCGCCGCGTCGGCAACATGGGAACATGTCCACCGCCACTTCGCGGTCGCAGCGCTGTTGTCGCCCGAAACGCCGCATGTACCTCTGGCGGGCCAAAGATCGAAATCGCATGTCGATTTCGACTTGACGGCAGCATGGAGGCATCACGTCTCCATCGTCCATGCTGCCGTCAAGTCGGAGCCAGTCTGCGGCGACCACAGGCCACAGCGCTTGCAGGAGGTACATGCGAGCTTTTCAGAGTCAAGCGATTGCGGCGAAATCCCACACTGGTGGATTTTGGGGCGCTGTGGACCTCGCTAGCCGAGTCCCGCCGGGAGTCTCGAGAAGATTCAGGAAGCGCGCGTTCGCTATACAATCATGTAGAGGGCGCCGCTAGCCTCTGCCCTGGCGCCTGGGGGCCCTCTGCACTGCGCACAGGGGTTCGGTGGGCAGCAGATAGGTGAGAGAGATAGACTCAAGATTGATAGAGTGTGCGCGCAAGCCTTAGCAGCGAACTCAAAATCTCAAAAGGGCTCGAATAATACTCTACCATGGGATTGCATGAAACTCTCAAACGGAGAGCAGGGAAACTCGATCGAGGCCGCACCGCACCGCGGCCGCAGTGTCCAGTGAGACACGGCTTGAGACACGCGGTGATCCGCTCTATCTCTGTCCAGTCTGTCGGCCCATACCACATCTCGTCACATTCCGGCGGCCCGGCGTCACCCGTGCGGGTCGTAGCCTGGGAGGGGCTTATATCGCGGGAGGTGCTTGACTCGCTCCGCCCACGGCAGCGCGAGCAGCTGGTTTAGCTTCGAGCCGGGCCGCCACTTTCCAAAGTGCTGCGTGCGGCCGACCTCCTCCTCGGCAACCTCGCGGAGGACCACGCGCAGGTGCGAAAAGTACGTCTTGCGGATCCCCGTCTTCCCCCTCGCCTTGATGTCCATCTTTTTGAAGTGCTTCCCCTTGTTGACGACAACCTCGTCTGCAGGCGCAGGGCGGCGGGCGGGCGGCGTTGGGCGACGGAGTCGGTCGATGCCGAGGCCGTTCGCGCGCGCGGCGGCCGTGTGTGCGGGCGGCTTGGGCCGGGGCCGGCGTGCTCACCCACGACTAATCTTTCTTTGGAGAGGCCCTGCGCCTCGGCGTTGCCGGCGGCCGACTCGATCGCATTCTTGACCATGACGGCCATCTGCTTGCGGCAAAACTCGAGCTGCATCATCGCCTCCCGCCAGTACAGCTTGGGAGTGAGGTTCGCCACCACGCGCAGCTTCTTCGGCGAGACGGGCAGGTTGCGGTAGAATGCCTGCGCCGTGCGGCCAGGCTTGACCTCGGCAGCCGGAGCGACGGGCAGCGGGACGCCGAGCGCCGACGACAGGGACCGGACCGCCCGCGCGGCGGGGCCTCGAGAGCTTCCAGCGAGTCGGGCGAGCATGTGTGCCAAAAAAAAGTCCATTCCGCGCAATTCCCCAATTCGCGAGGTATTTCCAGTGAATCTGGCGAGGTACTCCCACACCTCTCGGGGGATTTGTCTGGCCGAGTCAACCCGAGAGGCGTGTCTCGCCTCGTCAAGTCTGTGGGACGGCCGAGCCTCGTTCAAGAGGCGCGTGCGTGCGTCCCCCTCTCGACTACGTTGCGCGTTGACGTCAGAGCCCTCCAAGTTCTCCCTGTTCTCTGTGTGTGGCTCCGAGCACTGTGAGGTGTGCGGTGGGGGGCAAAGTAAAAAGTAAGTAGAGGGTGTGTGTTTGGCTCCCCGCGGGGCCCGACTGTTGTCGCGCACTGTTGCACTGGGATTGGGTCGATTCCGCATGGTCCCGCCCGCGCCGAGCCAAAGGAGCTCCGCGGAGCCGCCAGGCGCCCACCCCGGCGATTCGCTCGCTACGCGTCGCTCACCGCCGGGGCGGGCGCCTGGCGGCGCCGCTGCGCAAAAATTTCGTAAAAAAGTCGCTTTCGCACCCGAGGAGGCAAGAAAAATCTCCGCTCCGTCGCAACTCTCATGGTCGTCGGTCCCGCTACTGCCGCCACGGCGCTCAAATGGCCCACTCTTCGCGGCCCCGTCGGGCGCGGCGCCCTCGGGCCGGGCTGCCGCCGCGCGGACGGCAACCTGCTCGAGGGCGTGCACGCGGAGTCCAACGAGCTGGTGCAAAAGGTGCTGAGCAGCGTGCCCGAGCTCGCCTCGTGGCCCGCGTGGTACAGGCACCCGCGCGCGCTTTCAAACGGCCACGTGCACACCATCCTGGCAGCAAAGGCTCGCCGCACGCGCGCCGTCAAGTACCACCGCCTCCTCGTGCCGACGCCAGACGGCGGCACGCTCGCCGTCGACCTGCTGTGCGGCATCAGGCGCGCGCGTGCGCGCGACCCGCAGGTTGGCGCGCTGGGTTCGCTGCTCAGCGGCGGCGCCGTCGCGGGAGCTGCCGAGGACACCTCCCGCACCGACACGCTCTTCGTGGACGCTCCTCCGCCGCTCGAGCAGAACCGGCCGCTGCTGCTGCTCGCCTCGGGGCTGGGCGGCGGCTCGCAGGACACGTACGTCCGCTCGATGGCTGCGACGGCGGCGGAGCGCGGCTGGCAGGTCGCCGTCGTCAACATGCGCGCGTGCGGCGGCTCTCCAGTCACGTCTCCGCGCCTCTTCAGCGCGTACCGCGGAGCCAACGACGACGTGCGGCTCGCGGTGAGACACCTGCGAGAGACGCGTCTGGGGGGAGGCGGCGTCGTCGCCGCCGTCGGCTGGTCGAACAGCGGGACCATCGTCAACAACGTCCTCGCCGAGCAGGCGCCGGGCACGGAGGATCTAGCTCAGTGCGATCTCAAGTCTAGTCTAGCCTCGCCCAGCAGGCGCCAGACAGAACCGGAGCATCGCCCCCTCAAGAGCAGAGCCTCGTCTCGCACCAGGCGACCACGCACGCCGGCGACGCGTCTCACGCCATCGGCGCGGCGTGCTCGCTCGCGACGCCGCTCGACATGCCGGCCAATTCGGCCAACCTCCAGCGTCCCTTCCACAAGGCCGTCTACGACCGCAACCTCGGCCGCTCGCTGCAGGCGCTGTGGGGCGCCGCCCGCGACCAGTTCGTCGACGCGAGCGGCGCCCCTCTGCGGGTGCCGTACTGGGACGGCCTCTCGCGCCCCGACAAGCTCGACCCGACCGGCGGCGACAAGGCGGACGGCGCCTTCCTCGCCGACGACGCGCTCGCCTCGAGCGCCCTCTCGATCCGCGAGCTCGACGAGGCGCTCACGCGCCGGCAGTACGGGTACGAGTCGGTCGACGACTACTACGCCGCCGCGAGCAGCGACCAGCGGCTGCCGCTCATCGACGCGCCGCTGCTCCTGCTCAACGCGTTCGACGACCCGATTGTGCCCGGGCTCAGCCTGCTCTCCGCCATCGAGCGCTCGCGCGCCAACCCGAGCTGCCTCTTCGCCGTCACCTCGCACGGCGGCCACCTCGGCTGGGCGGACAGAGACGACTCCTTCCCGTGGGGCGGCTCGGGCTGGGTGGAGCGGGCGTCGCTCGGCTTCCTCGAAGCGGCGCTCGGCATCGCGCCCGCATCCGAGTGCGAGACGGTCGCGTGCGAGGTGTTCGACTGAGGCGGGTGGGGAGAGTCACCTCCAAAAGCGCAGCAGAGCTGCGCGCTTATTCTAGTTGTGCGCGCGCCCACCGTGTGTGGCTGCGGGCTCTATCTGTGTCAAGCGGCCTTGAGAGTCTGCGGAAACCCTAGCCGGCGGCGCCGCGCCCCCCAAAAAACACAGTCCAAAACGCATAGCAGAGATACGTCAGTAGGGGTACGATCAGAGAGGGAGATTAGCACAGACCAGACCACACACACACAGTCACCACTGTCACACCCCCGCCGCACCGCGCGCACACCGCCACCGGCGACGGCCGACGCGCCACAGGGGCCCACACAGGCACAGAGGCCACACCAGCCCCCAAGCCCCCCCACGCCAGCCCACACCGCAGCACTCAAAGCACACAGACTCTTAAAGACGTGTGTACACACTGACTGAGTGTGCCGAGAGAGAGACCCAGCACCCGGCCACAGACATCGCCTTATTGCACATTCCTCCTGACTGCGATTGCAACTTTTCCGTAAGGAGGACATATTTCGCCCGAGCGCCAGTAGCTCCCGGCGCGGCTTTTGCCTCTCTTGCCGCTCACGGCTCGCTCCTCAAACATCAGCCGTCCTTTGCGGCGGCTTCGGCGGCTCTGTCGTCTGGGATTTCGGGAAGCAGAATAGGTAGAGGAATGCCACCAGGAGGAACGCGGCGAAGGCCGAGCCAATCACGAGCGCCGCAATGTCGCCCGGCGACAAGCCTCCGCCGCCACCGCCATTAGAGCCAGCCGTCATCACTGCGCAGGCGATGCGCGAGCCATCGAAGGCGTGAATGATGAAGGTGTGGCCGTCAATCTCCGACGCGGCCAGGCCGGTCTCCACCGAGAACGTGCCTTGCGCCTGGTCCGCCTCGTCGGCAGTGTACGCGACAGCAGACCACGGGTCGGACGCGGTCGAGTAATAGTGGCCGAGGGCATCTTCGGCGCAGGAAGTACCCGCGTGGATGTGGATGCCACATGAGTTGGCCGCGCCGCCAGCTCCGGAGCTGCAGGCCGGGTCCACGCCGTCGAGCGAGAACGTAAACGTCTGCGTTGCCACCGCGAGGTGGGAGGTGGTGATCGGGTCGATGCTTCCACTGACCTGAAGGTTGCCAGAGTATGAGAAGTACGGCACAAAGCCACGTGCCTCGAGGAACTGTGGCGGTTGCATGATGATGGCACAGGCGATGCGCGAGCCGTCGAAGGCGTGAATGATGAAGGTGTGGCCGTCAATCTCCGACGCGGCCAGGCCGGTCTCCACCGAGAACGTGCCTTGCGCCTGGTCCGCCTCGTCGGCAGTGTACGCGACAGCAGACCACGGGTCGGACGCGGTCGAGTAATAGTGGCCGAGGGCATCTTCGGCGCAGGAAGTACCCGCGTGGATGTGGATGCCACACGAGTTGGCCGCGCCGCCAGCTCCGGAGCTGCAGGCCGGGTCCACGCCGTCGAGCGAGAACGTGAAAGTCTGTGACGGCGTAGAAAGCCTGTCCGTCTCGATGTCGTAGATGACGCCGCTCACCTCAAAGCCGCTGCCCGAGTTGAAGTAAGGTACGAAGCCGCTGGCGACACAGGTGGCGGCGGCCATTGTGGGGGCGAAGCAGATGAAAGAGGAAAAGCGAAAAACCAAGCGAAGCGAGCGAGCGCCGAGCCTAGGAGCCAAGCGGAAGCGCCGAGCCTAGGAAGCCGACGACCAACATTCCGTGTTTGCGAGCAGGCCCATGAATGTTCTTCATGTTCTTCATCTCTCTCTGTCGTTTGACAAGGTTAATGGGCGGCCATAATAACAGGTGTATTCTTCTTCTTGGCTGTTATGGCTGGCTGCTCATAACACCCCATAACACCTCATAACACCTCAGAACACCTCCATCACTGTTATGGCTGTTATGCCCACCCTACCTTGGGCTGTCCGAGGTTTTCCGGCAAACAAAAAGGATTGGTCCCCAGCACTTTGCGTTTCCGGAAAACAGACAAACAAACGTGTGAGTGTTAGAGTTTTCAAAAATCTCTAGAGTTGTTTGGTATTGCTAAAAAAAACAGAGGGGTGTTTGGTGCTCCATTCTGGAAACTCGCGAGTTTCCCTGACGCCTGAGTCTGAAAGCTGGTCTGGGCACTGGGCTCTGGGGCAAAATCTGAGGCAAAATTGAGGAAATCGACAAAATACCCAGGCGGTCGCAGGGTAATTTCCAGGTATACACGGCGAAACACGGGTTCTCCGAAAAATTCCCGGCATTTTGCCGATTTTGCCTAAAATTTGGCTGATTTTGGGCCCAAAGCCAAACCAGCCTCAGACTCGGCTCAGAGCCCAAAATTTGACGATTTCCACGCAGTTTTCCCGGGAAAAGAGAGAGGAAAAGAGAGGGTGTTGTAGAGAAAAAAGGAAAGGAAAACAGACGGGGTGCGAGAGGCAAACCTCGGACAGCCCAAACCCTTACCATAACACCTCATAACACCTCATAGCACTCATAACACCTCCCACTGGTTGTTATGACAGCCAGCATAACAAACCTCAGCCGCAGGAGGCAGGTTGATGTTATTGAATTTAACTTGAGGGCAAAAGAGAACATATTTGGCGATCGATGCCGAACCTCGCGCGCGGCAGCGCGCGCGAAGCAAAAATTCCAGCGGCGAGCTGTTCGGCGGGCCTCTCGGGCCATAACACCGTGGACGGCTCTCTCATAGCAGCCCATAACATGTACATGTGCATGTTATGGGTGTCATGGCTGTTGGTTGGGGCCGTGTTATGGGTGTCCGGCACCAATGCCCAAACAGCCATAACACCTCCATAACATGCACATGTGCATGCACATGTTGGTATGGGCTGCTATGCCCAGAGAGCCATAACACCATAACAATAACTGTGTCCGGGGTGCACTGTCGTGCACGCTCTCGTGCTTCGTTGTGACACGGGAGACGCTCGACGCCTCGACCACCTGAGTCCTGACCCGGGGACCCGGGCGCCTCGTGCCGCTTGTGAGATGTGAGCGCGCGGCATCCGGGCGGGCGCAGAGCCGCCTTTTAGCCACGCCCTCTTTATATCTTGTGTGTGCGCGGTCATAAATCAAAGCACATAACATAAAGAGAAGAGTGGCATGAGCACAACAATAAATGGCGGAAAGGTAGAACTCCGCCGCACCGCCGGACACGCGTCTCGCGCTTCACATGCATCTTTCTGTCGCAGAATGTGTCCAGCATGGACATGGATCTCATGGCATCTCATGGCATGAACCCCGCGCCGCTCCCGTCTCGGCTCTCCCCTCGCGCGCACCGCGAGAGACGCCGGAAATAAACCCGTGGGCCACACTCGTGGATCAGGTCAGTGAAGCCCTCAGCCGGGGGCTCACGACTGTTGCTCCTCCTCCTCCTCTTCCGCCGGAGGCCCCCAGCGCGCGCGGAGCTCGAGCGGCTCGACCTCGGCGCCGTCCGCGGCGACGTTCACGGTCAGCAAGCCGCTCCCCTCGTCGTACTCGAAGCGGACGGGCGAGCCGTCCACGCACACCTCGAGCGGCGCCGGCCGCGCAAAGGCGCCGATCCGGCCAGCCGCCCGCACCACTGCGGTGGCAGCCGCCTCTCCTGGAGGGGAGGAGAGGGCGAGGGAGGAGGAGAGGACCGCGCCCCCGCCGTTGAGCATGTCGAGCAGGCCGAGCGGCGCCCACCGCACCTCCCCCTCCGCGCGGACGGGGGCGACGACTACGATCTCCCACTCCCTCGCCGCCAGCCGCACCTCGACCGCGTCCTCTGCCCCGAGCACGCGCAGCCCCTCTGCGCGGTGCGTGTACAGCGCGTACTCGGCGGGAGGAGGCGCGGCCGGGGAGGAGCCCCCGCCACCCCTCGCCCCGTCCTCCCCCTCCTCCGCCGCAATCTCGCGGCGGCCGAACGGAGCCACGTCAGCGGGGCGGAGGAGGGCTGTCACCGCGCCGCCGCCCTCCTCCTCCTCCTCCTCCGCCGCTGCCTGCTCGAAGCGGCGGGTCGCGCGGTCCCAGCGCGCGCCCTGCACGTTGAACGCGCCGACCACGCCCGTGCACGCGTTCTCGTTCCAAATCTTGAGCGCCGATACGCCGTCCGCGTTGACGTCGCTGAAGAGGACGTCTCGCGTCGGCCTGCCCGCGTGCCGCGCGAGCAGCGCCGTGCCGTCGGGCAGGACGAGTGTGCGCAGCAAGTCGAAGTCGTGCTCCCCGGGCTGGTCCGAGACGTAGATTGGACAACCGCCCACCGCGCGCGCCGCCGCGTGCATGTGCGCATCGGAGTGTGTCGACGTGAACATGTCCCAGTCGACGTGGCCTATCTCGCCGAGGAAGAGCGAGTTGTACGACACGTGCGCCAAGTGCACGGGCTGGGCCGCCGGCTCGTCCGGGTAAAAGTCGTCTGCCGCGCGGAGGAGCGAGGTCTCGCGGTAGTGGTACCTAGGAGGTGTCTCGGAAGTGTCTCGGAAGTGTCGCGGGGCAGCGAGTCTCGCGGCAGCGGCGCACAGGTTTTCGCTCGAGTGGCACATGCAGTTGATGCACCGGTTGCCGCGAAAGTGCTCGCCCACCGACGCCTCCATAGCGCCTGATTCGTCATCACCACTCCTCGGACTCGGTGCTCCTTCCACTCGGCCCGCCATACCGACGCCGCTTCGCGCCGACGTGGCGCGACACGACTCGAGGCCCTCCCCCGAACCCGCACCCGAGCGGGCCGAGCCCCGACTGCGCGTCCACCTTGACGCCGTCGACGCCGCTCTCGGCGAGGTACGAGTGGATGCCTGAGACCGCGCGAAGGGCGCGTCACGGGCGAGCTCGCCTCGGCTCCAGCTACGTCTCGGCTCCATCCCCGGCTCCATCTCGGCTCCATCTCGGCTACACCCAAGCGCCGTGGAATAGCTCGATCTCGCGCCCCTCTCCGACGGCCCCCACGCCGCAGACGGCGGCGGCGTCCCATCCGAGCGCCGGCTCGACCTGCGGACGCGTCGCGGACGTGTCGTGGACGTGTCATCGAGGCGGCGAGGAGCCGTCCCGCCCCCACTCCACCTCGAGCAGCGAGTCGGTCGGGCGCGGGAAGTGCTGCGCCGCGGCGAGATGCGCCGTGAGGGGCGAGGAGGTGCAGACGCCGCCCCAGTAGCCGCCGAGCGTGTGCCTGTGAGCACAGCAGGTCATCATTAGCAGCCGTGTGCCGTATACAGCCGAGACGCAGCCGAGATGCAGCCGAGATGCAGCCGAGATCGTGTCTGCACGGCGAGGCGAAGGGGCGCCGCTCGCAGCACCGCTCGCGCCACGCCTCCACCCGCAGCGCGCGTCAGCAGTACACGCGCCTCGGCCCACGCTCTGAGATCTCTATCTCGGCTGCTATCTCGGCTACATCTCGCCAGCAGTACACGCGCAGCGGCCCAAACTCGCCTCGCAGCGACTGCACAAAGGAGCGGAGGCTGCGGCCGGCGGACGGGTCCTCGAACTTTCCGTTTGCGCGGAAGGCGGAGAGGCGCTTCGAGAAGGTGGTCTGCTCTGCGAAGAAGCTCTGGAGCGTCGGCCGCAGAAGTGTGAGAGCGAGACCTCGCCACAGCCGCACGGCGATCGCGCCCCGGTCGGCGCCGTCGACATGGTCGCGGTACCTGTGGAGACAGTGCGGGGACATGTCCGGGACATGTCCCGGATCTGTCGGCGCCGTCGACATGGTCGCGGTACCAGTTGCACACCCAATCGACGACGGCGTTCGTGTCGTTGGCGAGGGTCGGGTTGTTGAGGGTGCTCTCGTCGCCCGCCACGTAGTCATCCCCCGCCGCCGCGCCGGCCGCCGCCGCGCCGCCCGCCGCCGCCTCGCTCGCCGCCTCTCCCGCCGCCAGCCCGCTCGACGCCGCCGCGTCCACCGCAGACGCGCCACCGGCGGACCCGCCTCCCGCGCCGCCGCTCGCCCTCCCCGGGTCGTCCGCCACCTGCGGGAAGGTTCCAGGAAAGGTCGAGGAAAGGTCGAGGAAAGGTCGAGGAAAGGTCGAGGAAAGGTCTAGGAAAGGTCGAGGAAAGGTCTAGGAAAGGTCACCGTCTGCCACCCGTCGTCGATGATGAGCATCCGAGGCGGCGCTCCTAGGGTTAGGGTTAGGGTTAGGGTTTGGGTTAGGGTTAGGTTAGATGAGCATCCGAGGCGGCGCTCCTCCGCCACTGAGCGAGCGGAGACCAGCCTGGATCCCGGCGGGGTCGACGCTCTGGTAAAAGGCGTCCCAAGTGCACCAGCCGAAGAGGTGGCGGTCGGCGGGCGGCCGCTTCGCCGCCTTGACCTGGAAGGTGCCCAGCCGCTCCGCCACCGCCGCCATGCTCTCGGCGACGAGCGTGAACGGGTCGTCTCCGACGCCGACGTAGAGGGCGTTGGATACTTCGCTCGTCCGGACGCGAGCGTCGCCGCTCTCGCTGAGCAGCTTGAGGCCGGAGCCCGACCCGCTCAGCGTGCACCGGAACCCGCCTTCCACGAGCGGCAGCAGCAGAGCGTAAGCGCTCCCAACCTCGCAGAGCAGGAACTGGGTCTCGCCAGGCACGTCTGCGGCGCCGGAGCCGAAGCTCGGCCCCATCCACCAGCGCTTGGTGCGGGCGGCGCTCAGCAGTCGGTCGCACCGCAGCACGCCGAGGGAGACCTCGTGCTTGGACCTCTGCCGCTTTGTCGAGAGCGAGAAGAAGCCCGGAGGAGAGGCGGCGCCATTCAGAGACTTTGAGACGCCTTGGAGGAGGACGTGCTGCTGCTCTCCGCTGGCGAAGACGAGGTCCCTGCCCTCGACCCAGACCCGCGAATCAGGGGTCGTCGCGAAGGGACGCCGCTCCTCCTGCTGCACCTGCGGCTGCGTCACCGCTGGACTGCGAAACTTTGCGAGCGTGCGTGAAGGAGCGCCGCCGCCCAGGAGAGAGGATAAGCTCGTGCACGACAGCAGCAAGAGCATATCAGTGCAGCAGACGCAACTCCAAGTCGCTGGTTAGTGGCACGCGCAAGCTTGTGCTGATCAGAGAGGGCACGATCGGCGCTGATCAGATCAGTGCTCGGCCCGGCGGTGAGTCTCTCGTCGGGCGTAAGCGCGATTTCTTCTTCGTCAACACTTGTAATTCTTTTTCGTTCCACCGTAACCCAACCGGCATGCAACAGACTATTTCTACTACGTTGATGTGCTGAGACGATTCCGGTTTAGCGCGCTGGACAGCTGCCTCTGCCTCCGGCATCTGACCTTACGTGCGTATCGTCGGATGACGATCGCCGCGCCCCGCGACTTACAGTCGTGGGCTCGTATCTTAATTAAGATTAAGGTTTCCCCCGCGCCCCTCCGCCGGAGCGAGGCTTGATTGCGGGTGCCGCGCGTCTTCACGCGGCTGCCGCCTGCGGCCGTTCATCGAACATGCGGTGCACCTGCGGCGGTGGAGGGTGGGGTGCGGTGTGGGGAACCCCTGTCCCCCCGCCCCCCCCCCCAACCCGCCGGCTGTTTCGCGCCTCGCGCTCGATGATGTCTGCCGCCTGCATCACCTGCTCCTCGGAGATGACGAGCGGCGGCGCGAGCCGGATGATGTCGCCGTGCGTCGGCTTTGCGAGCAGGCCTGCGCCCATCAGCGCGTGGCAGAGCGCGCCCGCGTCGTTTGCGCCGTCGGGGCGCACGACGACCGCGTTGAGCAGCCCGCGCCTGCAGGCGAGGCGGGTGGGGCAGGGGTGAGGGGGGAGGGAGGGCCGTCGCAGCCTCGCCTGCAGGCGCGAGGGTGAGCCCGCGCCCGCGCACGGCGGCGATGGCCGGAGAGTCGATGGCCTCGAGGCGTGCGCGAAGGAGGTCGCCCATGGCCGCGGCGTTCTCTGCGAGCTTCTCGTCGCGCAAGACGTTGAGCGCCGCGATGGCGACGGCGCACCCGAGCGGGTTGCCTGTTCACAGCGTCAGGCTGTGAAGAGACGCTGTTCACACCGCTTTTGTCCTCCGCCCGAGCGGGTCGCCTACGCGACGTGTCCACGACATGTCCTCCTCTCGACACGCGTCCAGGACGTGTCCCCCGCCCGAGCGGCTCGCCTCCGTACGTCGAGCCGTGCTCGCCGGGTCGGATGGTGAGCATCACCTCGTTAATTAACAATTAAGGATGACTAATTACTAATGAATGATGGGTCGGATGGTGAGCATCACCTCGTTAATTAACAATTAAGGATGACTAATTACTAATGAATGATGGGTCGGATGGTGAGCATCACCTCGTTAATTAACAATTAAGGATGACTAATTACTAATGAATGATGGTCGGATGGTGAGCGTCACCTCGTTAATTAACAATTAAGGATGACTAATTACTAATGAATGATGGGTCGGATGGTGAGCATCACCTCGTTAATTAACAATTAAGGATGACTAATTACTAATGAATGATGGGTCGGATGGTGAGCATCACCTCGTTAATTAACAATTAAGGATGACTAATTACTAATGAATGATGGGTCGGATGGTGAGCATCACCTCGTTAATTAACAATTAAGGATGACTAATTACTAATGAATGATGGGTCGGATGGTGAGCATCACCTCGTTAATTAACAATTAAGGATGACTAATTACTAATGAATGATGGTCGGATGGTGAGCATCACCTCGTTAATTAACAATTAAGGATGACTAATTACTAATGAATGATGGTCGGATGGTGAGCATCACCTCGTTAATTAACAATTAAGGATGACTAATTACTAATGAATGATGGGTCGGATGGTGAGCATCACCTCGTTAATTAACAATTAAGGATGACTAATTACTAATGAATGATGGGTCGGATGGTGAGCATCACCTCGTTAATTAACAATTAAGGATGACTAATTACTAATGAATGATGGGTCGGATGGTGAGCATCACCTCGTTAATTAACAATTAAGGGTGACTAATTACTAATGAATGATGGTCGGATGGTGAGCATCACCTCGTTAATTAACAATTAAGGGTGACTAATTACTAATGAATGATGGGTCGGATGGTGAGCATCACCTCGTGCGAGGAGAGGACGGCGGAGACCGGGTACACCCCTCCGGAGAGGGCCTTGCCGAGCACGAGCAGGTCGGGCTTCACCTCCTCGTGGTCGACGGCGAGCATGCGCCTGACTCGTGACCGCGGATTCACAAGGACTCACCACCGGCGTCCTCCGCGTGGTAAACAGCGAGCGTGCGCCCCGTCCGGCAGAGCCCCGTCTGCACCTCGTCCGCAATCATCAGCACGCGGTGCTTTGTGCACAGCTCGCGCACACCGCGCAGGTACCCGGCCGGCGGCACAACCACGCCCGCCTCGCCCTGGATGGGCTCAAACATGAAGCCGCACACCTGCCGCCCGAGGGCTAGGGTTAGGGTGTTAGCACACCTGCCGCCACAGGCGCCCGGCGCGGTGAGGCGGAGAGCGCGAGGCCGGCGCAGAGGCACAGCAGTCACAGAGCGAGGGGAGAGGAGGTTTGAGGAGGCGCTCACGTTTGGGTTGGCGGTCAGCGCCGCGTCGAGCGCCTGCAGGTCGCCATACGGGACGAGGTCCATGTGGCTCATGAAGGGACCGAAGCCCTTGCGGCAGCTCGGGTCGCTCGACGACGAGCAGGCCGAGAGCGAGCGGCCCCAGAAGTTGCCCTCGCAAAAGAGCACCGTCGCCTCGTTCTCCGGCACGCCCTTGACGTCGTATCCCCACCGCCGCGCGAGCTTGATGGCGGTCTCGCCGCCCTCGACGCCCGTGTTCATGGGGAGCACGCGGTCGAAGCCGAAGAAGTCGGTCACGAACTCCGTGTACTCGCCGAGCACGGAGTTGTGGAAGGCGCGCGACGTGAGCGTCAGCTTGGCGGCCTGCGAGTGGAGCGCCTCGAGGATCGCCGGGTGGGCGTGGCCCTGGTTGACCGCCGAGTAGGCAGAGAGGAAGTCAAGGTAGCGCGTGCCGTCCACGTCCCACACGTGGACGCCCTGCCCGCGCTCGAGGACCACTGGCAGCGGCGCATAGTTGTGTGCGCCGTGCCGCTCCTCGAGGCCGATGAGCCTCGCCGCGGCAGCGGAGGACGTGGAGGAGGCGCGGCGCGAGCGCAGCAGGCTCGGCAAGAGCGGAGCTCTTGAGCGGAGCATCGTCCGAAGAGTGGTCGGCACAGCGATCACGGCGAGCTCCGCCGACGAGCTGTGCGTTGTGCAAGAAATTTCAGGTGGGAGGACGCCTCAAAAGTCAGGAGCAGGAGAGCCCACCTGTCCCCCTGATCGTCCTTCCAAAATCCTGCTCGTGCAGGTGTGGACCCTGTCCTCCTCCCCTATCCTCGTTTGTGGCTTGTCTGTCTTCTTTCTTTCTTTCTTTCAAAAGTGACAAATCTCTCTCAAAAGTGATGCGGGACGCGGTACGAACTAGAACATGCATGTACACGGCGAGAAGGGAGGCGGCAGAGGACACAGAGAAGAGGGAGATAGTGGACCGACGGACGTACGGGCACATGTGAGATTTTTAGCAATACCAAACAACTCTAACACTCATTTGGGGCTTTGTTTTGTTGTTGCACATGAGTCAGAGCGCGCACGAGTGGGTGTGCGGACAATTTCGAAAGACGGTGAGGCCGGGATCGCACACGGCAGGGGTGGCGGGACGGCTGTGGAGCGAAGTCATGGGACAATAAGATGAGATTGTGAGTGAGAATGGGGGGAAGGACAGGCGAGCGACATTTGACGACGTAGGGGCCACAATGTGACGACCAAAACGATCTTGGGGGCCAGGGCGAGACAACAGGTCGGGGTGCCACACGGGGCACACCACAGGCGTATTCTAGAGGGGGGAAAGAAACGGGGAATGAGGGGCCCCGCCACGAGGAGTGCGTTTTGGGGATGCAGAGCGTGCAAGGCGGCTAGGGATGAGGCCGCAAAAGACGCGCGCGAGACAAGGAGGAGAATAGGAGAAAGGCATGGATGCCAATCTGGGGTCTCTCGACCGAGTCTATGAAGCCCTGGCCGCTCCCGGTGGTGGCAAGGTTAAGCAACCCCGAGCAACGGAGATGGTGCGGGGGTGGTGCGCACTGTGCCTCTGTGTTCGTGCGTCGCCCATCTCTCCTGGAGGTGACTGCTCTATTTTTTATTCCTTTCCGTACAATCCTGCTTGGTGGCGCGCGTGCCCGTTCTCCCGTGCATCCCGCGGGATTTTCTTTCTTTTTCCCTTCCCGGTGGCCTGACTGACTCTTAGGTCTTAGCACCGAGGAAGAGTGCGTGTGCGAGCCAGTCCTTAATTAAGAATGAGGTCTCAGGCCGGCGTCCCCTCGACAATCTCTAAAAGAGAAACATCACGCCGGGCAGCCAGCCCAAGTCATCACCACGCTCAGGCACACAAACTTGGCCGGCAGCCCGGGCGGCCACCACACCACCTGGTGGCAAGACGCGTCCGCGACCGAGCCGTGCTGCAGCTGCAGCCGGACGGCGCACGCTGGCGCGCAGGCGGGCTCCGCCGCCGAAGACTCCACGCAGCACGAGTAGCCCTCCAGGCAGGTCGGCCAGCCGCCGCCGTCCTGCGGGTGCCACTGCGCGGCGCACGCCGGCGGGCTGTTTAGCGCGCTGCCGTCCTCCGCGCTGCTGCAGCTTCCAGCGAGGTTCATCTCGAGCTCGCCGTACCCGCCACTGTGGTACGCCGCCACGAGCGCCTCGATACACGTCACGCTGATGCTGTTGCCAGGGGCATTCAGCCGCGCGAGGCTGGTCCACTCACCGCCCGAAAGCGAAGCGGCGAGCAGGGCGCACCAGGCATCGCCCATTGGCTCTGCCAGCTGGCAGTGGCTGTCCGCGGTGGAGGGGCACGCCCACAGCGTGTGTACGTCGGACCGCGTTGACGTGACTGTCCCGGTGGCGTCCAGCAGCGTGATCCACTCCGACAGCGGCGGGGCGGCGGGCGCCGGGGCATTCGGTGGTTGAGGTTGCTGAGGGGGTGGCGGGGCGCGAGGAGGGTCGGGAGACGGAGGAACCTCTGGCGGAGTCGACGGGGGAGGCGGAGACGATGGGTGGGGCGGACTGGGGGGCAGGGGAGGCGGCGGCCGAGTTGGAGGCGGCGGAAGAGGCGGTGGGTGCGGAGGTGGCGCCGGAGGTGACGCCGGAGGCGGCGACGGCGTAGGTGGTGGACGCAGAGGTAGAGGCGGCGGTGACGCTGGCGGAGGAGACGACGGCGGAGACGAGGGCGGGATTGACGGTGGGGGTGGAGGCTGAGGCGGAGGCAGCAGCGGGGGAGGTGTGTCCGGCAAAGGTGGGGGCGGGAGTGGCGGCGGCGGCGCAAGTGGTGGTGGAGGGGAGGGTGATGGCGCCGGCTGCAGCGGTGACGGTCCCGGTGCTTCAGGTGGTGGGGCAAGCGGCAGTAGCGGCGGGAAAAGGGGAGGCGATGCTGGGAGGCCCTGAGGCATCAGTGGCGGCGAGGGTAGCGGCGGGGGCGGTGACGAGGGCGGCGGCGAGGGCGGTGGCGAGGGCGGTCGTGAAGGCGGTTGCAAGGGCGGTAGCAGTGGCGGTGGCGGTGGCGGTGCCGAGGGTGGTGGCGAGAGCGGGGGTAGCGACGGCCAAGACCATGGCAGCGACGGCGGTAGTTGATGGGCGGCGTACGGCGATGGTGGGGGCAAGTGCGGAGGGATCGGCGACGGCAGCCCGGGGAAGGTAGGCGGTTGCAGCTGTGGCAGAGCTGGCGGAGGTAGGAACGGTCCACCTGCGGAAGATGGGCTCGGCGATGGTGGTGGCTGCTTTGACGGCGGCACCAGCGGTGGCAGCAGTGGTTCTGGCGGCGGCAACAACGGAGGTCGCCACTCATGCATGCCCAGGCGCACATGCCCCATGCCCACCAAGACCAACTGTCCGGTCTCACGGACGATGATCCTGGCCGCATCAGCAGCGCAGAGAAGGGAAAGCAGCACCGTGTCCGTAGCATGGCCGCGCATTCGGCCGAGCCGGGGCGCGGTGGTTTCGCGGTTTTGCGAGCGGCCAATCGAAGAGTTCTAGCTCCGCACGTCCCACAAAACTCGGCGCCGGACAATGTCCAATCACGACGTCGACTGCCTGCAGCGGCCCCTGACACGACGGTCGGGCTGTCCCTCCCCACGAAGGCAACTCGCGGCCAGTGTGGCGGCTGCAGAGCATGGAACAGTGTCGCAGGCGCTGCCTCTTTTGTGTGGCAAGAACGGCAGCGCCATCTGCGGTATAGACAGGCAGGCAAGCCTCAGCACGCTATCAGTGAACCGATCTTCTGGTGCATGCCTCGCATTGCTGCACCACCAGACCCGATGGGCGCCCAGCGTCCGGACGGGTGACTTTGATCCAGACTGGAGCGACTCTGAGCAGCACTCGGCGGAGACTGACGCCTTTGTCGCCACATTTGCAGAGTTGCGTGGGCTTATTGGCAACCGCTATGACTCCAGGTTGGGGGAGAGGAGACGCAGGTGCTCACCGCTAACAGTCGAGCAGGAGGCTGGGCACAGCGCTCCTGCCTCGGCTCGCCCTGCGATCTCAGCGGCAGCCAGTGCCCACGGAGAGGCGACCGCAGACTTCCAGGAGGCTCTGCTACTGAAAGCTCGGGAGCATCCGTGGGCTGAGCCGCTGCGCCGGCTGCAGCTGAAGTGCCGACCAACGGCCACCGAGCGTGCAAAACTGAAGCTCCAAATCTTGCGCGAAAGCACGTCGCTGCGGCTGGAGCTGGAGGAGCGCGTGGCACAGAGCGCAACGCTGCGCCGACAGAGCTGTGGGAACCTCAACCTCATCGCCGAGAATGCCGTGAACGTGGCGCAGGCCTCCACGCCCCGCCGCCGAGCCGAGCGCATGCGTCAGATTGCGACCGAGCGCGAGGAGCGCGTGGCGACGACGCGGCAGCGCGCAGAGAGGCTTCAGAGTGAACGGGGGGAGATGCTGCGAGTGAGGCTCAGGCGCCATGAGGAGGCGAAGAGAGAGCGGCAGCTGCGCGAGCGGGTGCAGGCTGCCGCCGGACGCCGAGCTAGGTGGGCTGTCCTTGTTGCCTTGGCCTCCCGCACGGCGGCGCTGGCGGTCTGTTTGGAGCGCTCGCGCAGACTGCGCGCACTTCAGCAGTCGGTGGTGACTCTGCAAGCTGCGACACGGGCGGCGGCGGCGCGACGTCGGCAGGCGAGGGAGCGACGCTTTGCGGCCGTCCTCGGCCTGCACCTTTGGCACCTCCGCCTTCGATTACGAGTCCGGCGCAAGCGGCGTGCCGCATCGCACATCACGCACTTCCTCCAGCTTTGCTCCAAGCAAGGGCGCGTTATGGTTGCCATCAAGGTCTATATGCACGCCGTTCGCCTCTTGCAGGCCTACGTGCGGAAGCATGCGAAGGCGTCCGCGACGCGGTTGGAGCTGCTGCTGCTGCAGTGCAAGAGGGCCGAGGCTAAGCTGTACCCGTTGCGGCCCGTTGCGAGCGGTCCGGGGGCGGGCGAGGCGGGCGAGGTGGGCGAGGTGGGGGTGCCGTACCGCTGTGCAGGCCTGGCCCACGACGCCGGATTGACTCGAAGGGCGGAGGGACACTACGACAGCCACGTGCCATGGGCACTCGCGCGCGAGGTGGCGCATGAAACGTGGGCGGCGACCAAGCGCCAGCACGTGCGCCACCAGCTGTCTAGCTCAACCTCAAGCTGTACCTCTGCGCGCCGCCTGCCGCTCCTCTTCTCAAAGGACCAAGTCCGAGCCGTGCTCGAGGAGGCTCGGCGACGGATGCACGCGGCGAGTCGTGATGCGTGATCTGGTGTCAGGGTTCTCTCGAAAAAAGACTGAGGCTAACTGACGTACAAGGTACAACACACACGAATCACCCGCGGAAGGGGCGGGGGGGAGGCGGACCAGCGGCATCGGTAAAGCCACCCACATAGCGCACAGCCAGAGCCACAGGTCACCGCCACCGCACCATATACACAAACTGCTCACGCGCTCCACACGCTCCTTCGCCTCCACTCGTCACAGCTCAGACAGCTCACACACAGGACAGAGGGGAAGAGGCAAATCAGACAAACACAGAGAGCGTGGCGACCCCGCTCTCAGGCGAACATAACCGGCTATTCGTCCTTGGCATCTCCGCGGCGCGCCCTCCGCCGCATGCTGCCCGCCTGCCCGCTCTCGGAGTGGTCCGCGCCCGAGCAGCTGCCGGAGTGTCGCTCCTCGTCTGCGCCGCAGGGCGGATGTGGCGTGGTGCGCCGCGGGGGACGTGCGTGAGTGCTCGTGCGTGCTCGTGCGTGCTCGTGCGTGCGTGTGCGTGTGCGTGCGTGCGTGTGGTGTCGGGGCCGGCGCACGTATCGCGCGCAGCTCCCTCTGGGCCGGCTCTGCGCCGCCCGGCCTCCGCTCCGCAGGCTCGTCCTCGTGGCCGTCCTTGGTCGCCTACGGTGCGTCGCGGGGAGGGTGCGGCGAGAGGGCTCGCACCTTCGCGGCAGGCGGCGCATGGCAGCGCGTCACCCACTCCCACAGGCTCGATGCGGCTGCGCCCGCCGCGCCGAGCGTGGCTGCGCCCGCCGAGTAGACAGCGCTGCCGAGCCCCTCGAGAGGGCCGGGAGAGTCGTCGAGGTCGGCCGGCGGCCGGCTGTGGCGGTCGCGCGCGCCGCGCTGCCCGACAAACTGCGGCCCTCCGAGGCCCGGGTACGCGGCGGCCTGCTCCAGCCTCGCGTGCCTCGCCCTGGCCAGCTCCTCCTCCTCGTCCTCCCACACAAGCTGCTGCTGCAGCGCGAGGGCGAGCGCCTCGTCCTGCTCGACCTGCGCGGAGGCGTTGAAGGGCGGGGAGAGGCCGCCGCCGCCGGGAAATCTCTCGCCGCCGAAGTTGGGCGGCGCAGACGGCGGGCCCACAGCGCCGTCCGCCGCCATCGCGGCGAGGGCGTCGGCGGCCGCCTCCATGCTTCCTGAGCTTTGGAGGACCGCCTCTATGACCTCAACCTCGACTGTGGGGAAGACGGCGTGCAGCGCTTCCATGTCTCGGTGACTAGGCACGGGAAAGCCGCCGGTCTTCCGGTCACTTTGGTCGGCGCTGCGCGGGCGCGGCCGAGAGGGCAAAGCGTGCGAAATTCTTTCTTGAGCTTAGCCTTCGATGTTATGAAACAACGGAAGGCGGACATGGCATATCGCTCTCGGGCTCACAGACATCCCTCACACCCGCCGCACACCCGCGCGCGCCCCACCCCGGCCGGGAGAGAGGGGAGTGACAGTTTGGGATGAGCAAGCCCGAGTATGTTGAGTCCTGGCTCAACAACGCAGAGAACAAGAGGGGGTGGTCCGGCTCACAAGTCCGGCTCACGCGCCTCGAGCTCGCCATCTACCGCACTGAACACTTCCGCCCCCTCGCTCCCAACCCATCCACCCCGCCCCGGGCCGCGCCGCGCGATCTCGGGCGATCTCGCGCGATCTCGGGCGATCTCGGGGCCGCGCCGCGCTATCTCGGGCGATCTCGCGCTATCTCGGGCGATCTCGGGGCTGCGCCGCGCTATCTCGGGCGATCTCGGAGCGTCGCTTGCGCGGCGTCACACCTGCTCAAAAAGGAAGGAGGTTGGAGGCAGGAGGTCACGCCCCATCCAGAGCGCCGTCGTCGCCGGGTTTTTGGCCCCCGGGTCGTCGCCCGACGGTTGCTGCGCGGGGCAGCAGACCATCGGACGGCGCGACGACGCCCCGTCCGGCACGCTCCCCCCTCCACCCGGCTATTGCCGCACGAGCGCCCTCAGCGGCGGAATTTTTCCCTCGCGCTTCCTTGGGCCCCCGGCAACGCCGGCGGACTTCCCGTCCCCCCACCTGCGCCGCAATCACCGCCGTGATTGTCGGCGCCGCGCCCCTTGGCGCCCGTGCATGTCCCGCGTGCCCGCCCGCCAAGGCTGGTGCCAAGGCCAACTCACTGCCAAGGCTGGTGCCAGGGATTTTATTTTAACAATCGTGTCAAAAAAGAATTTTACAGGGATGTCGCATCACACTGGGCACGGGACTGGCGCGCACTGGTACTAACACAGGTACACCACGGGAGCCTAAGCGACTTGCCCGCCAAAAGAAAGCCAATTCTTGACTTGGGCCCTCGGGCCTGCGGGCGGCCTTCTCTCGAGGTCTCGAGATACACAGAGCGGCGAACTAAATGACTCCCGCGAGAAAAGAAAGAACGTAAGATGCGCCTTCTGCGCGGCGGGCGGACTGGCGATCGTGAGGTTTGTTTATCTCTTCTTGAGCACTTGAATCGCGATTTTTTTCGAGCTCAGACGGCAGCGAGCGACTTTTGCCTGCAGACGTAACTCGGCCTCTGGCCGCCGACAGCGCCTAACTCGGGGTCTGGGGCGGAGCCCCAGCCTGGGGTCTGGGGCTGGCAGCCCCAGCGGGGTGCGGGGCAGAGCCCCGCGAAGAAAATTTTGCATTTTTAGCGCCAAAAACCGACCAAAAATAGGCTGTGAGCTGCTGCCCCAAGAGCCCCCGTCTAGAGCGCAATGTAGAAATCTCGTTACATAGTACACACACACACACACACACACACACACACACACACACACACACACACACACACACACACAC